GCTGGAAGGTAGAACTGGCACTGGAGGCCCGCCCCAAAACGGCATTCACCATTGGACAAAGACTGTGGCAATTTCGAGTGATGCCGTTTGGACTGTGTAATGCTCCAGCCACCTTGGAGAGACTGATGGAGTGGGTCCTTAAAGACATTCCCAGAACGCATTGTGTGGTGTACCTGGACGACTTGTTGGTGCACGCGAGGGACTTCATGCAGGCTCTGGATAACCTGCGTGAGGTTTTAACCTCCATCAAGGACGCCCGACTTCGGCTGAACCCAGCTAAATCTCACCTGCTCGCACGCCAGACAAAATTTCTGGGGCATGTGGTCAGTGCGGGGGGTGTTGCTACGGACCCGGAGAAAGTGGCCGCAGTGAGGAACTGGCCCACTCCACAGAATGTAGCTGAGCGCAGCATTCGCAGCTTTCTGGGACTGGCCTCTTATTATCGGTGGTTCATGAGAGGGTTTGCCACAGTGGCAGCACCCCTCCATCAGCTGACAAACAAGGGCCGGGGGTTTGAGTGGAGCAGAGACTGCACTGCTGCTTTTAGTTAGCTCAAAGCAGCACTGGTGGAGGCGCTGGTCCTGGCCCTCCCCCAACCCACAACAACCCTTTATTGTGGATACCAATGCCAGCGCCGTTGGTGTGGGAGCCGTTCTCTCCCAGGAGGGGGAGGGCGGAGAGTGAGTGGTGGCCTTTTACAGTGGCAGCCTTAGCTGCACTGAGAGAAACTATTGTGTCACCCGTCGGGAACTGTTAGCTGTCATCCTGGCAGTGTGACACTTCAGATTGTACCTCCTGGGCATCAGATTTGTGTTAAGAACGGATCATGCCAGCCTCGCATGGCTCATGAACTTCTGCCAGCCCGAAGGGCAAGTGGCAAGGTGGTTAGAAGTACTCCAGGAGTACGATTTTAAGGTTTGCCACCATCCAGGTTGGCAGCACACCAACGCGGACGCACTCTCCTATCGCCCCTGTGTAACTGAAGACTGTCACTACTGCAGCCGACTGGAGGAGCGAGAGCAGGAACCATCAGCA